TTGAACGGGCTCTTGTCACCAGCATTAGGATTTCCCCCCCCCCCCCCCTTTTTTTTTGTTATTCTAAAGAGAACACGGAAACCTTGGCTTGCATGCAACTCACAGGCCGTGGATCGATACGTGATAGGCGTCCCGAAATCCAAGGCACGACATAGACCCATATTCATAACCCACCATAGTCGTATATATTCCCCCGTCCATCACTCTGTTGCCTTCCTAATCTTTCCCATCCGGCACGCATGTAAGCACGGGAGAGGGGATTGTCGGGAGGGAATGAATGAGTGAATTCCATTTTATTGATTCGGTGGCAGATGCTGGGAAGGAGAAGCTCAGAGGACTGGGATTAATAGCCGCTTTTAGGGACACCATTATACGCATGTGAGACAGTTTCGCGGGGGGGATGTATCGCCCGCGCCTCTTATCGCCCAAGCGACTTCCGCATCTCATCGGATTTCCTTCTTTTCTCTCCTTTACCTGACTAGGACCCATTCGCGCGAGAGAAAATCGTCCCTTCAGACGAATGTGTGTACGGTCCTTTCTTCTCTTTCACAGACGGAAGAAAAGAGAAGGAAAAAGAGGGGGGACGGAAATGAGCCCATAGTCCCCCCCCCGGTCAGGAAATTGCTCATAGGAAGACTTGCGTTTCCCCCTCACCAGACTTGCACGCATTCTATTACCCTCACAACTCCCACGTGAATTCACGAGAAACAGGGATCCATTGATCATCTTCCCCTCTTCTTACACCAGACCGCGACGACTCCATTTTCCTCTCAGTAAGGAACCCTATATTTTGTCATAACCTCGCACGATAAAATTTCATTCGTGTCGTCGAGCATATAAGCCCACGTTATCTATTGCAACGATCCCAGTCTTTATAGCACTTTCACTCATCTGAATATGATGAGTCCTACGAAATCCATACGATTTATGCATTTCATTCGGGCTCGTGCCCCTTGTTTATCGAGGATTGTATATCTTATAGGGCAGCGAAAATGGAGATGAATGGAGTACAGACAGTTCCATCTCAAACCTATTTGGCGAAAGCAAAGAGAAGGCTGGATACTTTATATTGTGCGACAGGGGCTTCCAGAAAATCCATTTCCTACGAAGATTTATGATGACAATGACGCTTTTCTTTGTAAATGATTTTTTAAAGGGATACTGATCTGTTCTATTTTAATT